GTTAATCTACTCGCACAAGTAGATTCTATTTACTGAATGGAGAGTACATCCATTTCATAATAATTATATATATATATATACTACTTATAAAAGTGCAAATGCGGAAGTATTGGCTTCTGGAATTTTTCTTTTCTAAAATATCCCTCATCTTGAATTTAGTTCATCTCCATTGAAAGGACAGAAAATGTAAGTAAAAGAATATCATTAAATACATTCAATTACCTCTCATTAAGTCTCACATTTAAGTCATTAAATAAATCACATTCTCTCATTGAATCCAACATTTATACTCTATGTATTATGTTAAATTCCACTAATAAATCCACACACAACCATTATTAATAGAATGAAAATTTATATTTTTAAAATAAACATAGAAATGAAATCATATTTCCATCTAGGTGGTGGGTAAGTACCACTGTTTTCAAAACTGGACCGGACCGGACCGAACGGTTGGACCAAAAAAATCAGGAACCAATCACTGACCTGACCGGTTCTGTTTTCCTCCAAGACCGTTTTTTCCCCCAAAACCGTTGATTTTGGTCAACAAACCGCTAAACTAGTCAGTTAATCGTTCAAACCATTCGAACGGTTTTGACCGTATTCCAAATTTTTTAATTTTTTTTAATTTTTTTGTTAGAACGGGCCAGCCGCTCGGGTCGAACGGTCGGACCGTTCAAACTGGTAACCAGACCCCTGACCGGTTCATTTTTAAAAACCATGGTAAGTACTTCAACCATTTGGGTCAGATGGATAATTTCATGATGTCGTTAATAAATAATGAAAATTTAGAAATATAAAACATACTTTTGTTTATCATCATTAAATTCCACTAATAAATCCATACGCAATAATTATTGGTAGAATGAAATTTTATATTTTTAAAATAAACCTAGAAATAAAATCATATTTCCATCTAGGCGGTGTGTAAGTACTTTAACCATTTGGGTCAGATGGATAATTTCATGATGTCAAATAAATAATACAAATTTAGAAATATAAAAATACAAAAATATAGAATTTTTTTTTTAAATTGGACACATTTCTATTATTATATATTTTTCATATTAAAAAATAAGTATGATAATATAGGCATAATTTTATTAATGATGGACATCAAATATTCAACTTAAAACCGATGGAAAATTAAACCATCTTCCAATCTAGGGGGTGGGTTAATGGTTCAACCTTTCAGGTC